TTCCCAACATTTTCCTTCACTACTCTGCTGCTATTGATTGTAGCGTGATGAAAAGTATACTATAACCTGCCTAGGAGTATGAAGAATAATTGTACCAAGTTTCGTTAAAATCCGTCGAGTAGTTTTTGTTTCTATAAGGAACATATACACAGACAGACAGACAGACAGACAAAAATTTTACTGATTGTATTTTTGGCATCAGTATCGATCACTAATCACCCCCTGATAGTTATTTTGAAAATATATTTCATGTACAGAATTGACCTCTCTACAGATTTATTATAAGTATAGAAGATAACAAATCTATCATTCTGAAAAATCAAAAAATGAATGAATGAATAATTATTATGAACACATTATAATAGGAGGAGGAGCAATATACAAGTGAAAAGTGTCGCCGTCCGTAGTCGCGTAGGCGCCGGCCGCCAGCCGTAACCGTTGTCTGTTTGTATGTGTAATTTTATTTATTTATTTTTATGTTAAATAATGAAAACGTATTGATGTTATAATATTGAGAAGCAATTATTATGACGAGGTCCAATAAGTCTGTTGGAGAGCAGAGCTTCTCATGTGCTCTGTGCGTGTATTGTATGGCCGAAGTAAAACGAAAATGAAATAAAAACGATGTTTTTATACGAATCTGGGTAAGGATCGATGCATTGGTGCGTTATGCCGTCCACGGTATTCTTAGCATTCGTCTCCAACACTACAAGTGTGTTACAGCAAACAATTAAAGTAACAAAAATTTTATTATGACCTAAGACCTTTTATAGCACAGTGTTGCCTATTTCTGCACGGTGTGTAAATAAATTGACCAACTTCACTCATGTAGAATTAGTACATTACGAAACGCGTAACTTAACTTTACTATGCCAATCAAGGAATAAACGTTCATGGATACATTGAAATTCTATTTTGTTGTAATGATATTTGATTTTTTCCTTTTGAAATATACTTTCAAAATGGTAATCTGAACCCCCGAAAAACAGATATAGCAAGGTACGTAGAACTAATAAATAAAACACTAAGCGAGATGCAAATACACGATGAAATCCCTGATATAAACAACATAGAAACAAACGTACAGTTCTTCACTTCAGCGCTTCTTAAAAGCTACGAACTGACGTGTCCTACCATCGTACCGAAAGGCCTGGGTAAAAGTTCCTGGTGGGGGCCAGAACTTGAGAAACTACGTAAGGAACTCAGGACACTTTTCAATCGAGCGAAAAACACCAGAACCAATGAGGACTGGGACAGATATAAAATAGCACAAAAACACTACAAGAAGCGGATCAGATTCCGGAGTAGAGAAGGATGGCGCGGTTTCTGTAGTAGTGTCAATTCAACAAATCAAGCTGCCAGACTCAAGAAAGTTCTGTCCAAGGACAACTCCAACCTCCTTGGATCTCTGAAAAGAGAAGACGGCACTTATACAAAAACAGAAGAAGAAGCCAATGCGGTGCTACTGGAAACCCACTTCCCAGGATGCCAACTGGCGCCAGGCCTGGAGTGGACGACTGAGCACCACAATGCACCAACAACCCAGGAATGGGACCTGGCAAAAACAATAGTAACGGCGGAAAAGATAGAATGGGCTCTAAAAAGCTTTCAACCATTTAAGTCAGCGGGACTAGATGGCATATTCCCGGCGCTACTACAATGGCAACTAGGTCAGGCAATTAGATACCTACAACCTATCTTTAGGGCCTGCCTGGCCTTCAAGTACATACCAAAACCATGGAGAGAGGCAAAAGTAGTCTTCCTACCGAAACCAGGCAAGGACGACTACACACAAGCCAAATCCTTCAGACCAATAAGCCTAACCTCTTCTCTTTTAAAAACATTCTAAAGACTGGTAGACCGACACCTTAGGGATGGAGCACTAAGTAAAGCTCCGCTGCACCCTCAACAACATGCCTACAGAAAAGGCAGATCAACAGAGTCGGCACTGCATTCAGTAGTCCACAAAATAGAGTCGGCAATCACAAATAAAATCTCAACACTGGCAGCCTTCATAGACATAGAAGGTGCGTTTGACAAAACGATGCACAACAGCATTAACCACGCCCTAAGAAAACTCAAAGTGGACCAAGTCACCAGAGGTTGGATCACCGAACTGGTGGGCAAAAGGGCGGTTCAGATAGTGGGGAACGCTACCACGCGTGCGAAGGTAGTCAGAGGATGCCCACAAGGGGGAGTCCTATCACCACTTCTCTGGAACATAGTAGTGGACAGTCTCATACGGAGTCTGAATGACAGAGGATACACTACTATTGGTTATGCGGACGACCTAACAATTCTGATAAATGGGAACGCTGAAAATGTCCTTTGCAAGGTTATGCGTTCAGCCCTTCAGATTGTGGAGAAATGGTGTGACGAACATCACTTGTCAGTAAACCCGAACAAGACAGAGCTAGTAGTCCTTTTCACCAACAAAAGGAAGCTACCTGAACTACAGTTACCAAAACTGTTTAATACCAAACTCTCCCTATCAACACAAGTGAAATATCTGGGCATAATCCTCGATAACAAACTGAATTGGGCGAGTCATATTGATTTAAAAACAAAGAAGGCCTGCATAGCTTTTAATCAGTGTAGAAGACTAGTTGGCAAAAAGTGGGGTCTAAGTCCAAAGATCACCCTCTGGTTATACACAGCAGTCATCAGGCCCTCTATAACCTATGGTTCAGTTGTTTGGTGGCCCAGGACCCAACTGACCACAGTGAAATCCAAACTCCAAAGTCTACAACGCTTGGCGAGCGTAGCAGCAACCGGATGTATGAGAACAACTCCATCGGCTGCATTAGAGTACCTCATGAATTTAAGACCATTGGACCTGGTCATACAAGAAGAGGTGAAAGCAGCAGCCTTGAGACTAAAATCTCTAGGATTATGGAGATTAAATACTGTAACAACACACTCCAATATTCTACAAAAGTGCACGAAGGAGATCCCACTCCTGGAGGCACCTATGGATAGAATATTAAGTCAACACGTCTTTGATCGAAGATACAATATCCAACTTACCGCGGAAAAGGCAGATTACTCCGGCGCCGGGGAAGTTAGGATATACACGGATGGCTCCAAAACCAACAGTGGCACTGGAGCCGGTGTCTTCTCAAACGACCTGAATATTAAAATATCTACAACCCTAGGCAAACAAAGTACAATCTTCCAGGCGGAATGTATTGGCATTACCAGAGCGGCACAGGCGGTTGCAGCCAGAGATATCAGAGAGTATAACATCAAGATCATCTCTGACAGTGCATCCGTGCTTCAAGCCCTACGTAGCAACACAATAAACTCTGTCCTAGTAATGGAGTGCCACAAGGCACTTCAATCCATTGCGGCTAACAACACGGTAACTCTGCAATGGATAAAAGGACACAGCAGCTCAATTGGAAATGACGCAGCAGACGAACTGGCTAAGAGGGGAGCAGACACAAAGATGTACGGTCCGGAGCCTTTGCTGCCCATACCTCAGGCCCAAATTAAAACGTGGCTGCGTGAAATAACTCATAAATCACACTTGATGGAGTGGAAAACAGGTGAAGGATGCCGGCAAACGAAATACGCGGTTCCGGCGGTAAATAAAAGTTTTGCCCGCACCCTTACCAGACTAAATAGGGACAAACTTCGCAGGATTATAGGATCCCTGACTGGTCATTGTCCCCTGAACAAACACCTATATACAATGGGGGTTACAGACAGCCCCCTATGCAGAGGATGCATGGAGGCAGAAGAAACGCCACAGCATGTCATCATGGAATGCAGGAGTGTGGCCGACCAACGGGCACGACTTCTCCAGTCACCAGAATCGTTTCCGGAAGCTTGCAGCAGTCTATCAAGGCTGCTTTCCTTCTGGACCGATATAGGCTGGCTGGAGTAAGCGGGAATGTTTATGAGATACGCACAATGGTCCAATAATTAGGACTAAGTGCGGAAACCGCCCTGAAAAACTAAACTAAAACTAAACTAATGGTAATCTGAACCGGAATTCTTTCTTTTCAGAGTTTGACTTGCAGTCTGTATTGCAATTCTTTGTGATTGCAATACATGAATTTTACTTTCAAAACACTAATTGCATCCCTTCGGAGCGGGAGCCCCCCCCCCCCCCCCCGTCTTGCCCGCGTCCGGGGCGGGTTTATGTCACACTTGCTATAAAATAGTATACGTAATGTACTATAATATAATACTAGCGGCCCGTCCCGGCTTCACACGGGTGTATTAAATACTATGGAAACGTAATGAATCAGAATTCGAAAAAAGAGCATGAATAAGTTAATACAGATTTGAAAGTACTATTGAGTAAAATTTTACTCAATCTCATGTACTTTTAGATAATCTCCCATACAAACATTAACACGAAATTTTTGTATTTTTTTGAGGGTAGTTGTAAAAATGTTATGTAACAGGCTTAGTGTACATCTATTAAATAATGTTTATGTAAAATTTGCAGTCAATAGGTCCAAGGGATAAGATTTTACGAACATTTTTTTTGCAAATTTTACGCTTGATGAGGCTGAATTTCAAAAAATCTCATTTTATTGCATGTCAAGGCAATAATAGGAACCGACTGTCCAAAATTTATCATTCTATGTCCAGCCGTTTCGTCTGTGCGTTGATGAGTCAGTCAGTCAGTCTGTCACTTTTGTCTCTTCATTTATTATTATAGATAATTGCCTAATGGTGCGGTCCCACGATGTGCTGTCGCGGGCGAGGACGCGCCGGCGCCGCTCAGGATAATTTTTTTATTTTATTTTATTTATTTATTAAGGACAGCCAACAGAACAAACGAACAAACAAAAGGATTGCCAAACGTATGAAAATTCTAACGTTTGATTTTTAAGTCTCTATACACGATACGACAATTGAATGCCTATTTTTTATCTCTCAAATTATTAATCTGTGAGCTCAAAATTTTCAAATGGAATGAGAAGAATTATTCTTTATCCTTTGTTCAGGATAAGTCGTATTCTAATAATGTTTTATTGTTACAGAGGAGTTGAGTGGCATCTTCGTGAAGAGCATCAGCGAGGGGAGTTCGGCAGACCTCTGCGGCAAGATGCAGGTCAACGACCGGATCGTTGAGGTGAGAACTACAAACCCCCAGACATAAATCTATAGAATTCGCTTCAAGAGGCTTAAATAGGGTGTTCCAAGAAAATCCACGACAACGGCTAACTAGAGCCGACGTCCGAGTCTCAGAGACCCCCCCAAATTGGAGTGGTCTAGAGGCTCCAGATGGAGCGGAGACTCCCCCGTGAGGAGATGCCATCCGACTGGAATACCTCCAGAGGCACTCGCCATTTCTCGGCTTGGGAAAAAAGCAGCGGCAAAGGCTGTTTGACGGCATTGCCGATGTCAATGGGTGACAGTAACCACTTAAGTTCTGGTGACCCGTCCGCTCGTCTGCCTTCGGGGCAATAAAAAAGACTTGGTCAAGGTTACAGACAGGACTTTATAATACACCAGCGGCCCGCCCTCGCTTCGCTTCGGTGTAGAGCTGAAGTGTAGACTCCAGTTTTTGTTCTCAGGCTTGTATTATACACAATGACATTCATCTATGATTCTTCTTATATCTGCATGCAAAGTCGACAAAGTTTCATACAAACTTTCATTCTATATTTTATCCCCTTGGGGGTTAGAATTGATCAAAATCCTTTCTTAGCGGATGCCTACGTCATAACATCTACCTGCATGCCAAATTTCAGCCCGATCCGTCCAGTGGTTTGGGCTGTGCGTTGATAGATCACTATGTCAGTCAGTCACCTTTGAGTTTTATATATATGTATAGACGTAGATTATTCATAAAGTCTTAGGACGGCGATCATGGAAGTTAAGCTAGTTTCGGTCATCCTTCCTATTCCATCCAAAGTATGAACCCCAGCAGTAAGGACACTAATAGGCTGATGATGATGGTGATGAGACAATATTGAATACAACCGCGACTCGAACCTCGATCTTATCTTTCTTTTAATTCTATTCTATTCTAAATCTTTCTTTCTTAGGTTTCCACGCACATTACTCATTAAAGAAAACAAGTTTCAACGGGTTAGATGCACTGTTTTTATTTATTGATTGATGTTTTGCATCCTTTTGTAGAATCATTCGTCGTCTGAACGGTCAGACATTCAGACGACGCAACCCGTTGAAACTTGTTTTAAGTTCATATTTAATTACATGAAAAACAGCCAAATTCATCGCCCCTTGAAGATCAAAACAGTTATACAGGAAATAAGGGACTCGCTACCGAGCTACGCTAAACGGATATCGCGACATCCAAATAAACTGGCAAGAGAATTAATGAAGGATACAGTTTCACACTTTCCAAAGATTAAAGCGTCGAGCTCCTCAAGACCTATAAATTGGTTATAATACACATATAAATGGACGGGTCATTGGATCTTGTACCATTTTCGCTTCTATCAAAATTCTTATTGTCGCTAGGAAAAGATTAAAAAAATTAGTTCATGCTCTAACACGAGTTCATTGAAGTCAGAATAATGAACTTTATTAAGATATGAACTTTGTTACTACTTCAGGATTTGACATTTTTGAATCAACGGCTACACAACACATATCGAAATATTGTATACTAGCTTCCGTCCGCGGTTTCCTCATCGTTAAGTAAAGTTTCACGCAACTTTCATACTTTTTTTTTGCGTGAGAACCTTCTACAAAGTTTAAGAAAACTTAATAAAATGGAAGGACAAAATTGGTTAAGCCGTTTTCAAGTTATGGTGTAACCAAGGAAATTAGGGATAAATATTTATTTCTTATGTTTCCACGTACACTAAATAAAAAAAGTAACTTTATTCAGGAATTTATTTAAAAATTAATCTTTTTTACATCGCCATAAATCTTTTATTTAATCCTTTCCTTTTTTTTCATGTCATTAAAAATTCAGACCTTATTGACAGGCATCGGTGTTTCAGTTGTAGAAAATTCGCCTGCCCCGTGGGCAGCTGGGGTTCCCATTCCCAGCCGAGGAAGAAAATTTTTAATTTTCTACTTTTCATAAGCCGGAGTAACATAAACTTCGGATAATTTTCCGTAAATTTTCAGTTAAATGCCTACGATCCGAAAAAACTTTTGGGCTACGTAAAACACTTAATGTTTTTTATTTACATCGTGGATTCAATATTTTGTAGAGAAGATGAAGATGTATTTGTCGGCGGATGGCGTCTCGCTCGCTCCTGCGAAACGTAAAACCCACAACAAATGTCATCAGTCATTGTACCATTGCTTTGTGAAACGTCAAGTTATGACAGTGACAGCTGTCATCACTTGGGAGTGGTCTATGCTAAGGGTAGTATTTAAGGGGGTAACGCTTCATTGGAAGGGGCATTCGGCATTCGGCATTCAGCATTCAGCATTCAGCATTCAGCATTCAGACGTGAGCCGCGATAGTGAACGGACGTTAGCAGAGAACTCTCCGCGCTTCACAAAGCAATCCGTTTGTACCTTGGCAATCATAACTGATTTTGTAAAGTAATAAGAAGATTCAAATTAAACGTTACCTTGGTCACTAGACTACAGTTTTATTTTCGGGAAATATCATTGAATAACCAAGATGGCGGATCAAGACGAACCACGTGGCCAACCGCCTATATCCCGCTCGCCCTCTCCGACATATTCTTTTAAATACAGTATGTGAGTAGATAACTCTTTATTCGTAACAATAAATGCATAATACAAATACTTGAGTACGGATAAAAACCTTTGTAATTTCCTAATGTATATTCGGCTGCCAACCCCGACTACTGCTCCAGGCTTTACAAATTCATAAAGGACGTCTGTAGGGTTGTCAATAAAAGAAAAGTTACAAAACAAAACACTATTATAATTTTGAATCTCCTTGAAAGATTATCAAGGTTAAAAAAATAATGAGAAGCTCGATGGCGCAACTGGTTAGCGCGTTCGGCTGCAATTGTTGAAGTTAAGCAACTTTCGCAGCGGTCGGTCATTGGATGGGTGACCAAAAATTTACTATCTCGAGCTCCTCCGTGCTTCGGAAGGCACGTTAAGCCGTTGTTCCCGGTTGCATCTGCAGTCGTTAGCACCCACCAATCCGCACTGGGCCCGCGTGATAGGTCACGGCCCAATCTCCCTTTTCCATCCATAGGGAAGGCCTGTGCCCCAGCAGTGGAGACATTAATAGGCTGATGATGATGAAGCAAATAATCACTTTTATTTTTTAAGAGGCCTTTTGATTTTGGGACAGTTGACTATAAACCACTTCTCCACGGGGTAAGAGATTGGTTCAGGGCAACGCTGCGAGTAATAGCTTTGGTATCGCAAGCGTCGATAGGCTAAAATAGCCTTTGACAGGTACGGCATAGCTGAGTTGGAGCGCCCGTCTGGGAAGCAACCTCCACCTTACAAAACACTGTAGTAAAATAACACTAGGTACCTCGGTGGTATTGTGTTTCTGCCAGTAAGTAAGGTTCCAGGGCTCCACGGGATTGGCGATGGGGTCAGCGTAGGCAACGACACGAGTGATATTTTTTGTATCGCAAGCGTCTATAGGCTATGGTGGCGACCTCTAGAAGGGCATAGCTCTAGAAGGAATTATCTCTAGGATGGCTTACCTCAAGAAGGGGTTACCTCTAGGAGGGCTTACCTCGAGTAGGGCTTATCTTTAGGAGGGTTTACCTCTAGGAGGGCTTACCTCTAAGAGGGCTTATCTCTAGGTGGGCCAAATGCATGTTTGCCACCACAAAATGAAAAAAAAACTTGTCATTATTCAATCTAGATGAAACTCGACTAAAGGTGAAATCTGGTATAAAATATTTCGACGACCAGAACCTTTCTAAAAAGCTTGATCCTTTGGCTATGCGTAGAGATATAGCCTCACTTTGTATCTTCTATCGCATTTATTACGGTTAGTCTTCAGAGGAATTGTCCCGATTGATCCCAGCTGCTGATTTCCGCTATCGTACATCGCGACATAAATTTCATTCCCGTCATCTTGACGCGTGGCTATCCACAAACTTGTGATTTTATCGATTTTTTTATCACGCACTACAAAACTGTGGAATACATAGTCACCAGCAGTATTTAGGGACCTATACGACCCGAAAACCTTAAAAAAAAGGGCGTACTCCATCCTTAAAGGCCGGCATCACCAGTGTGATACTCCAGGTGTTGCAGGTGTCTATGGGCGATTACTTACCATCAAGTCAGCCGTCAGCCCGTATGCCCCCTATAAAAACTATATTGTTTAAACTTTCATGGTCACTAACATTATATAGTTATAACTTATTTACGGGATTGCTACTCCGTGATCACAGCGCTTGTAACAGTGCCGAAATATCGGAAACTCGCTAAAAACTAGGTACATGGTAACAATCCCGTATTTGTTTTTAAGCTTGTAACTGCAGGATGTTAAAATCTAAAGAAAGTAATACTAGACGGGCGCTGCCTTGAAGCTTAAGAAAGGCTAGAAAGAATTCGACATGGCCATCAGGGTCGCGGTAGCATAATGGCCAGTGCATCCGCCCGGGTAGCGAAGGGTGTGGGTTAGAGTCCCGTCTGCTGCCTGATCTGTGTGGATTTTCTTCTAGTATTGTTTTCTTTAGAATCCCGTGTATGAAACATACATAAGAATGAATGGATTAAGTGACTGAAATGAGTTCAGTTACGTTTTGTGCGTCGCCGAAGTGGCCACTGTACTACACTTGTTAAAATTACATTAAAGAAATACAGTTCATCAAAAATATCCAGTGTGGCTTCATTTACTGCAAACCCAGCGACCGCCACATCCCGTAAATAACTTATTTTACTATAAAAACCTCGAGGAGCTCGATGGCGCAAGTGGTTAGCGCGTTCGGCTGCGATCGTTGAACTTAAGCAACTTTCGCAGTGGTCGGTCATTGGATGGGTGACCAAAAATTACTATCTCGAGCTCCTCCGTGCTTCGGAAGGCACGTTAAGCCGTTGGTCCCGGCTGCATCTGCAGTTGTTAGCACCGACCAATCCGCACTGGGCCCGCGTGGTGGGTCATGGCCCAATCTCCCTATTCCATCCACAGGGAAGGCCTGTGCCCCAGCAGTGGGGACATTAATAGGCTGATGATGATGATGAGTATAAAAAAAATCTAGATTGACTTTTTGCGTAGTCGGCAACCCTGTCAGGGCAGCGTTGTGAATTCGTAATAATTGAGCCAACTCCTACACAATGGGCGTGACGTCAGCGAAACCAGGTTTAAGGTCCAAGTTCCACATTTGTTTGAAACTCGTTGAAAGTAAAAAGGCCCTCTCACCGTGACTTACCTTTTCCACTCTTTATTCAGTTCGGGAGGCGAATTAATATTTGTGTCAAGGTTCTTTTGAGTTATGATTTTTTATTATTATTAAAGCATGTAACTGCTTGATGTTTATATCTAAAGAAAATATTACTAGAAAAAAATCCACGCGGACCAGGCAGCAGACGGGACTCGAACCCGCACCCTTCGCAATCCGGGCGAATGCACTGACCAATTATGCTATCGCGGCTCTCACGGACCGCGTCGAAATTCTTCTAGCCATTCTTAAGCTGCATGGCAGCGCCATCTCTTCGCATTCTTTTGAGTGTTCAGACTTTTCCCCGGTTTATTTCTTAATCATAAATTCCCTTCGTAGAGGCAATTAAAGACATTATATCAATCCCTGGATAAAGTATTTATATGTTGGATATTGAATTTAAATAAATAATGTGTCACGCTACTCAACGGTACATTTAAAAAATTGGTTTCATAAAACCATACCATTTTTTCCTTTCTCTGGATAAAGTATATATATGTTTCATAGTGAAATTAAATAAATAATGAGTCACACTACAGAACAGTACATTTAAAAAATTGGTTTCGTAAAGCCACACCATTTTTTCCTTTTCCGGTATAGAATAGCGCCAAAGCATTCTGTAAATATTTACATTCAAGAAATAGAGCTTTGTGGACGACAAATAGTCAACGGAAGCATATAACAGGGGTGATGACGGGGTACAGTAAACGAAATTCTATTTAGTCCGTCAGTTAGATGATCAAAAAATAATGGACACGTATTGTTTCTTTGGGCAATCGACCAAAAAATTACTAAGTTATAGCGCGTCAAACTTTGGGAGTAGGGGCTCGTGACGTCACTTTTAAGTGAAAATTGTACCAAAACGTGACGTCATGCGACTTTTCAAATCAATGTATCTCTGCAATTTTTATATTATGTGAAAAATGAAAAATACGTGTCCAATACTTTTTGATAATCTACCTGATAAACGAAGAAAAAAAAATACTCATCATCCCTATTATTAGGGTATCGTTTGTCACTCACGGAAACGGGTACGGAACCCTGCTAATCTATGTATCTCTGTCTTTCTCTCTCTCTTTCAGCCTGTCTCAACCCTTTGGGTGTAGGCCTTCAAATTACGCCGCCTGTCATTTTGTGGGTCCTGAAGCCAATTTTTCGCTGCTGTTCTTTTAAGGTCATCGTCCCAACGCACCTGACGTCTTCCCGGAGGACGATTTTGACCCCAAGGTCGCCCCTCAAGGAGCCGCTTGCTCCACGAATCAGTCTTGTGTGCCACATCTATTCACGTTGCGGCGATGCCTCACGGTTACCATATAGCTTCCGACTTCATACCTACCTACTTACAGTTTCTTTATGAACCGACTTATGCTTCCCCCTCAGGTTCGAGTGGTCTAGTGGCTCCAGACGGGACTCCCCCCGTAAGGAGATGCCATCCGCCTGAAATACCTGTAGAGACACTCGCCAATTCTCGGCTTGAGGCCCTTAGGATCTCGCCGTCCCCAAACCCGGTGACGCTGTAAAGGTCATCTGCGACCAACAGCATACACACTCAAAAAAAAGACATGCTACTTCCATACCGGCAGGCCTACTCTATTTCAACGAAAAACTAAATTGCGAATGCTGTTTCCTTTTCATTACGAAAATTCGTTCGTCCGAAAATAGTTTGACAATTAAATTCTCCAAGCCTACTCTAATTCACAAAACTTTCAAACCAAAAGTTGAATTTGACATATAATTGTTCGAAAAAAGCTCAAATTGACAAAATGAAAAGTGTTACCTTTTCATTTTCGTTTTGGGACTTTCGTTTAAACTAAGCCTCAAATGACTGATAGAGTATTTTTAATCAAGACTGCTTAGAGTGAGGAACATTTTTTAGCATGTCAAATTAACAAATACACCCAATTTTAATTAATTATTATATTTCCAATACTTCAAAGTATTAAACGACAAATTTAAGTTGACGTACAATGAAATGCATCAACTCTACAAATTAGTCTGCTAACATTGTCAAAGAAGGTTCTTTTAATGTCATCAAAAATTTTGTAGTAAAGTAATTTTGTTTCCAAGTAAAACAGGTAATATAAAAAGTGAAGATAAAAGAACTCACAAACATGACTAATTCCATTCTTTCACGAAAATTGCCTGTGATTCCGAACTTTATGTGCGTGTTCGAAAATGAAATATAGTAGAGTCATTGGCGAAATTTCGTTTCGGAAAAGAGAGTAGAGCTCCTGTGCGACAAAGCTCAGTAATAAATGCGCTAAAATTAGCGTTCGTGAATTTAAATCTATCGTAATGAATTATCGGGCTGCGTAGATACGCAAAAATCTCTAGTCAAGCTCGTGGTCAAGCTATCGTCTAGTGTCTATAGACTAGAGGATAGCTTGACTAGAGATTTTTGACACGCATGAAAGAGGTCGTGGGAGACGATAAATTTGTTTGTGCGAAAAGGAGCTTATTAACGATGGAACTAATACAAATTTCGAATGGTAATTTCAGCGCATGTTATTACTTAACATTCCTCGAGCAGTAATGTGAGAAGCATTACAAAAAGCCGCATTATTACAAAGCGTAGACTATAGTTAAAAGTGGTCTAAAATTTAAGCTGTCACATTATTTGGTAAAAATAGACAGATAGATAAGGGGGAAGGAGGAGCTCGATAGACAGGTAGCTAGCGCAATCGGCTGCGATCTTTGAAGTTAAGCAACTTTCGCAGTTGTCGGTCATTGGATGGGTGACCAAAAATTTACTATCGCGAGCTCTTCCGTGCTTTGAAAGTCACGTTAAGCCGTTGGTCATTACCGCGTTGGTGTCCGCACCCACCAATACGCACTGGCCCCGCGTGGTGCGTTATGGCCCAATCTCTCTATTCCATCCATAGGGAAGGCCTGTACCCCAGCAGTGGGGACATTAATAGGCTGATGATGATAAGGGGAATTGTTGATCGGTATCGTTTGTATCTTTTCAGGTTGATGGTGTGTCCCTGCATGGTGTTACGAACCATAGAGCTGTGGCGTTACTGAGGGATGCCAAAGGCCCTGTGGTGCGACTCAAAGCATTGAGGTAAAACAAATGAAAATGAAATTAAAAAAAAATATGGGTGCGTGTACTTAAGTACGCGCGTGAGAAGTTATACTTCTTTTTGGAATTATTAAAAAATAGTTTTTAATTGCATGCAGATAATTAATTACAATAAGATAATAAAAGGATTGGAAAAGGATAGTCAACGCAGTCAATAAAGTTCAGTTTTAATTTGAAAATTTTAATAAATAATCAAAATATTCAATTTAAATCACTACTGAATAAAATTTATTAGCACATATAAATTTCGCATTTGTATAACATTATAACACGTGTTAAGAATATAGAAACTAGAAACATGTGGATAAATATTATAAATATGAAAACAGTGATCAGAGGCGACGAGCGTCCCAACATGTGCGACTAAGAGATCCTATTACTATTTTGTTGGAAGCTTTTTTTCGAGACTTACGAGTAATGTGCGGTTTAGCGGGCGACTTCATGGTGTTACTTTTCTGTAACAGTGTTGCGCGCGCATCTTAAAATTTCACTCTCATCATTTTTTCATAACGCGCCCGCGGCTAACTTCATTATGTTACTTTTGTGTTACAGTGATGCGCGCGCATCTTAAACTTTCACTCTCATATTTTTTTCATAACGCGGCTAAAGAAGTATAACTTAAAAAAATCTTTATTGGCCATTATAACAATAGCATATGAGAAAAAAAAACGAGCGAGCCTTACAGTAGTCGCGTATGATGTGAAACATTTGAAACCTTACCACCTTCTATTAGTAAAAGAAGAAATAAAACCTACTACAAAAGTATATATACAGGCGTCCCACGGCTACCTCACACGGAGGGAAAGTATATTAAATATTGAAGATAGGATATTTTACCAAAAGAAGACATCATTTTATTTTTAATTATAACTAGAACTGCATTCACAGATTTTTTTAAAATCGCCTGCTAAAACGGGGAATCAAACTCGTGAAATGATAACCATCGTAAGAGTTAATCATAACAATATTTTTTTGCTAAATAACATTTTAAATGAAAGAAAAGTCATAAAATTACACATTTTATTAAAAATATTCAACAAAAAGTAATAAAAAACAAAATGTATCAAATGTTAAAAATGTGATCCGATTTGTTGTATGCACATCATCAGCCTATTAATGTCCCCACTGCTGGGGCACAGGCCTTCCCTATGAATGGAATAGGGAGATTGGGCCATGACCCACCACGCGGGCCCAGTGCGGATTGGCGGGTGCTAACGACTGCAGATGCAGCCGGGACCAACGGCTTAACGTGCCTTCCGAAGCACGGAGGAACTCGAGATAGAAGATTTTTGGTCACCCATCCAATGACCAACCACTGCGAAAGTTGCTTAACTTCAACGATCGCAGCCGAACGCGCTAACCACCCGCGCCATCGAGCTCCTGTTGTATGCACATTCTCACTCTATTAATGTTTTCTCTGCCTGTCGATTTCATTATCTTTGCGTGGTGAATGTTTGTAATAATACGTCTGTGTTATTTTGTAACTCCTGCACACTGTCTTACCGGTTCTTGTAAACTACATCTGTTACATAACCCCCCAAAAAAAGTCCAGTGGGGTTAGATCTGGGGATCTCGCTGGCCATCTTATTTGTCCATAAGAACCGATTCAGGAAGGAAGGTGTTCATTTAGAAACTCGACAGTTCTCCTTCTGTTGTGAGTCCCATTTTGCTGGAAAATGAGATTTCGTTGATTTGCATCAGGAAGATTATTAATCTCACCTCTTAAAATATTTCTAGATATCTTTCCGTATTTAGATTCCCTTTGTAAAAATGTATTAAGAGAACCCGGTTTTTAACTAAAATGAAAAACACAAAAAAAGAACAGAACCAATATCGAATTCGAATAGTCTTCGAGTGCGAAATGTCATTGTCAAATGTGTACTGATTTTTAGTTCTCATTACGTACTTTGTGGTGATGCTGTATAAGTTTCCATACAAAATTTTACATTGTCATTTCACACTCGCAAACTATTCGAATTCGATAATGGTTCGTGCTAGGGGTAGAGACGCTTGAAAATGTATGTGTTCCATTTTCGAATTGATATTTTTACAAATTTCAGCCAATCGCATTGTAACTGAGTTCAAAAAGAAATGCATATGTACTACAGTTTGTACAGCACTTTATTCTTTTTATCACGTAATAAGACATTCCTTTCATTTAAAATGCTATGTTAATTAGTAAAAAATAATCTTTATGATAAACCCTTTCGATTGTTATCATAAAATAAGTCGTATTTTTTTTCGAAATTTCACGAGTTTGATTCCCAGTTGTAGCAGTCGATTTTAAAAAAATCTGTGAATGCAGTTCTAGTTATTATCAAAAATGAAATTCAGGCACTTCTTTCAGTAAAATATCCTATCTTTAATATTTAATATACTTTCCCTCCGTGTGAGGTAGCCGTGGGACGCCCTGTATATATATATATATATATATATATATAAATATTCATATAAGAGATTGATAGCGCAAGTGGTTAGCGCGTTTGACTGCGGTCTTTGAAGTTAAGCAACTTTCGTAGTGGTCGGTTATTGGATGGCTGACCAAAAATTTATTATCTCAAGCTCCTCCGTGCTTCGGAAGGCACGCTAAGCCGTCTTGGTTCCGGCTGCATCTGCAGTCGTTAGCACCCACCAACTCGTACTTAGCCGCGTGGTGGATCATGACCCAATCTCCCTATTCCCTCCGTAGGAAAGGCCTGTGCTCCAGCAGTGAGGACATTAATAGGCTGAAGATGAGAATGAGGTATTTTACAGTGTGTATTTTTTTAGGTATTTACGCGGGGCGGGGTTTGAGAAACTGCAGAAGGCGCTCGCGGCGCAAGATGGCCGCCGGTCCCCTATAGCTCCCCCGAGTCCGTCGGTCACCTCGCTGGCGAAATATAGTTTTAGCGTGGTAAGTTTTCAAAGACGTAGGATATAAGTGATTTTCAGCTCTGCCTGGCCAGTCCTAACGGAACACGCGACTCCACAGAAATACCATGGCGAGTAATCTGAGGAGTTATTCTTCCTTATCTAGCTAGGGTTACCATATGATAAAATCAAAAGTCCGGAGAAAAGGCTTGATGTCCATTGAAAAATCCTGAGATTTTTTACAGTTTGAGAATTTTCTCTCAAACGTACTTTACAATTGAAAAAAGTCGTAATATTATCGTTTATACTTTTAAATCAATATAACTTGAAGAGCTTAATATGTGGGGCATTACATGGATCCATAATTGAAGAAAAACCTTCCTTAAAAAATGTATCTTCACATATTAAGTATGATAAAACTGAATAATTACCTACTTGGATAATAAAGTACTGATTTTAATTGTGCAATTATTACCAATAGAAGATAATTTTTAGTTTGTTTAACTTTTTATTAGAGAGATCTTTAAAACGTAAGCTGTATTTTATTGGAAATTAAAAAAATCCTGAGATTTCATGAGATTTGCAAAATTCAGCGCAATCCTGAGAAGAGTCCATAAATCCTGCAATCTCCGGACAAATCCTGAGATATGGTAACCCTATCCTTATCCCACCTTCCCCTTTTCTTCAGAGGACCACGCGCTCTGGCCTACGTTATTACCTACTTACTGCGGCCATTATTCCTACACGAACAAAGAAATTTGGTGACTTATTTCTATGTCGTACAGGTAGCGGCACTTAACTCTAGCGCTGAACAAAAGCTGCTCATGGGTACGACTGGAGAGCCAATCGGCGCAACGCACGCCCCCCCGCGCACCCCGTTTCCCCCCAACACATCTTAATTTTTACTTCTGCGTAAGAACGGCCAGCGGTAGAGTTTCGTGCTGCGACTTATACTGTTCGCAATTGGAATTCTTATCCTTTCAAGAGAGGCGTGAAGAAGCATTTTTGCAGGCCGGCAAGGTGATAATGGTTGGTGTGGCAGTTTATAATAATAATTTATTTCAGGCCGTGTCCATATTTTGTTAGTAACAATATCACTTAAAAAATAACTGCTGTAGTTCGCGTTTGGACTTTACTACCACTTAACATCAGGTGGAGTAAAGTCAATTGCCTACCTTGTATATTACCTAACTAGCGGCCCGTCCTCGCTTCGCTTCGGTGTATAGCTGAAGTGTAGACTACATTTTTTGTTCTCAGGCTTGTATTATACACAATGACATTGATCTATGATTCTTCTTATACCTGCATGCAAAGTCTCAGCCCGATCGTTTTAAAATTGACAAAGTTTCATACAAACTTTCATACCCTATTTTATCCCCTTTGGGGGTAGAATTGATCAAAATCCTAAGAAATTAGCGGATGCCTACGTCATAACATCTACCTGCATACCAAATTTCAGCCCGATCCGTCCAGTTGTTTGGGCTGTGCGTTGATAGATCACTATGTCAGTCAGTCAGTCACCTTTGAGTGTTATATATATAGATTGCCATTAGCCATTAGATATTTGGCATTTTTCAGAAATCAGAATAAATTAGATCGTTAGTGAGTTTGCATCTTATAGAATACACTAGCAAACCAGTGAACCAAATGTTCACCAAAACCTGATTTAAAAAATGTATTTAATTAATTGAGAACTTCGGAGATTTTGTGTGGTTTCGTTTGAAAATTTAACCTTTAAATAGTTAATTAAAATTGTGATAATTACAAAATAGAAATCACGTGATTTCTCGAAAACCGGAAGTGCTACATTACTCAAATCCGGTTTGTAGTCTTATCAGACTATTCTTAACTTATAATTTAAATATTCTCTTTATCTATCTCTTACGGTTTGGCCGCTGAAACAGCACCACAGACGGACGGACGGACTTGTCTAATAGATAAGAGATGCTGTAATTGTTAGAGGCCCAATCACTTCCCGTGAGAAAAGGGTAACATTTTTCCATCGCCTCTTCCCGAAACGTTTTAAGACTCGTGATGAGGGTGCCTTAAACTCATTTGGACGTCTCACGTCTACTCATCTCTACTAACAAAAACGAACGATAAATCGTTTATCTACCATTGAGTTTACGCTTTCAATATTTTGTCTACACTGAGAGTAAGAATAAATATGTTTTATTTATTTTTAAGCTTTTAACTGCTAGATGTTTAAATCTAAAGAAAAGTTTACTAGAAAAAAATCCACGCGGACCAGGCAGCGGACGGGACTCGAACCCGCACCCTTCGCAATCCGGGCGAATGCACTGACCATTATGCTACCACGGCCCTATTCGCCGCGTCGAAATTTTCCTAGCCTTAAGCTGTAAGGCAGCGCCATCTCTTCGCATTGTAGGTAACCCACAGGTTTTTTTCTAGTAAACTTTTCTTAAGAATAAATATTATTAGTTTTTACTGAAATAGTCATGATAACAGTGACTTTTGATGTTTTTGGTATGCTTGTTTATGTGCGTGTGTGTGTTTCTTTATTCCATCGTAATATGGATGATGACTATTTTTTTGCTCTTCGTTTATCAGGTAGATTATCAAAAAGTATTGGACACGTATTTTTTCTTTTTTCACATAATATAAACATTGCAGAGATATATTGATTTGAAAAGTCGCATGACGTCACGTTTTGTGAGTGACTAAAAAGTGACGTCACGAGCCCCTACTCCCAAACTTTGACGCGCTATAACTTTGTCATTTTTTGGTTGATTGCCCAAAGAAAAAATACGTGTCCATTATTTTTTGATCATCTAACTGACGGACCAAATAGAATTTCGTTTACTGTACCCCGTCATCACTCCTATTTATGAATGCCTCAATGGATTTGGATGTATATTTTACAATGTTACCATCAGCGCTTGGTATAAGGCTTTTACTGAAAATCAGTGTCGCGACTTTTACTAAGCACTGGCCAGTTTGGTATAAAATTGTCTGTGTAATATAAGTTTTAGTTATTGAGAATTAAGGCAGCACCGACCTCGTTCTCGAAAAATGAGGACACTTAAGCCCGTAGCCCAAAATACACATCAGATGGTCACCCATTAGGAATGCAACGGCCATTCATGAATTTTAAGGATTATATTTTTGGGTTTTTTAAGCATTTAACTGCTAGATGTTTAAATCTTAATAATAAATAATTAATTATAAAATTTAAATATAACTATAATTGCTATTTCTTGTTTCAAATGTGCAACACTTGTAAAGGCATTCATTTGACATTGTGGGTTACCTACAATGCGAATAGATGGCGTTGCCTTGCAGCCTAAGGCTAGAGAAAATTTGACATAGTCGTCAGGGCCGCAGTAGCATAAGGGTAAGTGCATTCGCCCGGATAGCGAAGGGTGCGGGATCGAGTCCCGTCTGCTGCCCTCTCCCCGTGGAAATTTTTATAGTAAAATTTTCTTATTAAACTCAACTATATAGCGACTGGTACAAAAAATCCCAATATTTTAATAATTTAACTTTAAAAAAATTTCGCCAAGAGCCAATGTAATGTGTTCACCATCTGCTGTTAATGTACCTATTTAGAAACCCCTTTATCATTTTATTAACTTAAGTTTGCAGTGAATATTAAGTAACGAGTCAAATAATAATTGACTGCCCTGAAAATTTTACTAGAAACGAACCGTTATTTCTATCCCCAGTATGACGAATCAACGGTGATAGAAGTTGAGCCGGACTCGGAAGCACAGCCTCATCCGCCGTCTCCTACCTCCCCTTCGGAGGAGACAGAGATAGTTATAGGCAGGGAAGACCAGGACCGAGACACCAGGCGTATCCAGGACAAGTGGCGGGAGATCCTGAGCCGGGAACACGACTGGCCGGGACATCAGTACCACTATGATATTATCGTGAGTATATTGCCTTTAAATCTATCAATTCCATGCGTAGAGAAGGCTTGTGCTCTAACAGTGTGAACGTTAATAAGCTAGGTAATGATAACTCCTTCATCTTTCTTTGTTGTAACCAACCACAGATTACCTCTGTAACCATAGACAATTTCTGCCACAGATATTGGGATGTGTTCTGACTTATACTCCGATTTCTTTTCTTTTTGTAATTGGGATGTAGTTAATTTGTATTTCTTATTCTGTATTCTGTGATGTCACTGCTCTGGGTATGGCCTGCTATGTATGCTGAGCCGTATCCAGTGCTGGCATCATATAAAATACACATTTATTTACAAATTTGTTAATTTTACTTGTACGTTTTGTTGTCCTTTATGTTATATGTATTTTTGATTTTTATGTGTAAGTTATGTGCTATCAACAATAAAATCAAATTTCTTTCTTCTATCTTTCTTACTGTTACAGTGTCAATTATAAATTTAGGTCCTATATATCATTATTATAGAAACAGCCTGTTGGAATGTTTGGGATGGTTTATTCATAAGAACTTTATTAATAGTAGCTTTAAATTTATCGATGCTCAGTCATTGGACATTGCTGGGTACTTTATTGTAGAAGCGTATACAAATACTAGACGGCTAGTGTGGCAGGTAATATTGCTGCAACAATTATTACAAGCTTCTGAATTCTACTGACGCTTGGCATCAAGACGGGTGGAGACTTTTTTATGCTTTATTAATATAGAAAAGAGAGCCGTACATTTAGTTTCATAAGGCACAGAGATGGTAATTAATTGTTTAAATATTAGCATTTGTTTAGTGTCCGTATCGTTAATTATTTTGACATTCAGACCTTTTCATTGTATGTCTGCAGGTCGGCACCATAATCAAAGGCAAGGAGAGCGGTCTAGGCATCTCCTTGGAAGGCACCGTGCGGGTAGTGGGCGGGCGTGAGGTGCAAGCGCGGCATTATATCCGGGCGGTGGCTCCTCACGGGCCAGTCGCTAAATTGGGGGTGCATAAAGTGGGGGATGAATTATTGGAGGTGAGTGAGATTTCGTTCTAGTGAGAAACTAAGGACGTATTCTGGGGTCACTGATCATCATCAAACATCCACGCGGTGGCACCACATAAGCCCGTCGCTAAACTAGGCATGCAGAGAGTAGGAGACGAACTGTTGGAGGTGAGTGGGATTTCGTTTTAGTGAGAAATTATAGACGTACTAGCAAACCAGTGAACCAAATGATCACCAAAAAAAAAAAAAATAATTAGTTGAGAACTTCGGAGATTTTGTGTGGTTTCGTTTGAAATAGAAATCACGTGATTTCTCATAAACCGAAAGTGCTACGTTACTCACATCCGGTTTGTAGTCTTATCAGACTATTCTCAACTTGTACCTTAAACATTCTCTTTAATCTCTTACGGTTTGGCCGCTGAAACAGCACCACGGACGGACGGACGGACCTTATCATTATCAAACAAACGAGCGGTGGTACCGCATGGACCCAAACTTATGTTATAAGGGGCATACGAGCAGACGGCTCACCTGATAGTAAGTGATCAACGTCGCCCATGGACATTTGCAACACCAGGAGTATCACAAATGCGATGCCGGCCTTTAAGGAAAGAGAACGCTCTTTTTTTGAAGGTTTTTGGTGTAGTGTTTGTTTTTAAACAGGGCGTGACACTGACACACCTAGGACAGCTGTTTTGTCTATGATAGCGAACCGCTTACGTCGGCATAGCTGTCAAACTTCATTGATTGGATGGTAGCATTGAGGAAATATGCGATTTTTCTATTCGACTAAAATATTCGCCTTGAGACTTATAAAAAAAAAAAAAAAAAAAGTAATCAGGCAGTGAATCTCTGTGGGGGCGCGTGGATGAATGGATGGAGTTTGACAGTTGTTGAATTTTGAATAGTTTTTCCCATATCGATTTGAGTCCTCCTTATCGGGCGGTTTTTAATCGATTTTGAATTTTACTCGAAATTGAATTTCCTCGCTGATTTGGGTAGGTATTCCCTTTTCCTCAGCTTACGGCGAGCGTAGGTATATAGTTTTGAGTTTATTCTTCGGTTCGTCTCGAATGCGGCGGCTGTCTGTTTGACTGTGGCCTTTGCCTTCAGTTGGAGTGAAAAACAAATCATAGACACATGTTTGGGAGTGGACGACCCGTCTATCATCTATGAGCAATTGTCAAAACAACATTTAAAATTACACAATCTGTTTGTGGTACAGTTATCTTTTCATCGTTTCTTCTGCCCAAAGTATATTATAAGGCATATTATAGTCGTCGGAGTCGTGAAATAGATCCGAAAAGTTTATATCCTGAAGGATATTGGCGGAAATAGCGCGGAGTCGCTAACCGAACTGAGTTTCGCAGGTATATTGGAGTAACTCTTTTTCCTACTTATTTTGCAAGTTTGGGCTATGAAAAATAACCTTTCTGTTGATATTCTGTATCGTAGGTGGACGAACACGAACCTTCGCAAGGCGTTGCAATAAGGCAGTAACTTGTGATAGGAAACAAAATACTTACGGATAGTTTCATATTTCGAACGGTAAGCTATCATCTGACCATCATATTTATTCTCCTAGCACTAATTGAACTGCATTATGCACAATATAGTGATTATTGTCATCAAATATACCTAATCATTCTTGTCAAGTTAGTGAACATGAAATTGATTTCCTTCAACCCGGTGGGATGGGCCCCAGTCATGTAGTGATTCAAATTTTAAAGTGTAAACATTGACCGTGAATATCCCTCACTCTACCCTAACCGCCAGTGATGCAGATGTGGCAATCTATGTATTTTCCTCATATCTGATCATTTTTTTTCAATGTGAACTTCAGGCTTGTACGTTCCCCTCAAGAAATACTGGAGGAATAACCAGGAGACTCTTTCTCTGTACACGGACCAGAAGGGACGCGGGAGTTTATTTGCCAGCCGCTCTCCGGTTTTATGTAACCCGGCCGTAACAGCGGACAGATCATACACGGCTAAACCTATCCTAATCAAGGTATTTTCATTACTAACCCCGGGTGAGCGTGGAGAAGAACCACAAGGCGAGGTTGGACCCCGACCTACCCATTTCCATATATATATACATATATCTATATAACTGGTTATCTCACTGAGAACTGGAATTAACTAAGTTTGTCACCAATATCGATCAAACGAGCCGTAGAACCTCTGAAATCCACTAAATAGCTTATTCAGTCTAGTCTATGTGGTATGTGTGGATAAAATATATTAGATATAGTTGAGAACTCATGTAAGTACATGGTAGAGCGTTATGAATGTCTGATATTCATATAATTATAACCTTTCATGACAACTTGTTGATTTATATAAACTTTAACTTTAAACTACTGTATTCAGCCTAGATATTTAATCAGTAGAACATAGTTGAAACATTTCAGGTCAACTTTTTGGTTTATATAAACTTTAACTTTGAACTACTGTATTCAGCTTAGATATTTATAATTAGTGAAACATAGTATATATAGATTTATATAAGCAATAACCTAAAACGACTGAATTCATCTGCTCTGGTATCTAAAGTTGATAAAATATACTTATCACATTATCTTAATTCTTTTGGTTTTCTTTCATTGTTTCCCCGGTGCTCTGAGAGAGCTTAAAAGAGGGCAGTGGAGGAGAATTTAACATCACATTGGGTCGTATTGGTCCGGAAACACTGCTGGCGACAATATATTCCAAAGTTTTGTCGTACGTGGTAAAAAAATTCGACAAAAACGCACGGTTGTGGATAGCCACGCATCAAGTTGATGGGGATGAAATTTTTGTCGCGATGTACGATGGCGAAATGCAGCAGCTGGAATTAATTCGAACAATTTCTCGGAACACTCCCCGTGATTAATTCGATAGAAGATGCAGAGCGAGGCTATATCCTTACGCAAAGCCAAAGGATCAAGCTGATCGGAAAGGTCCTGGTCGTCGACGATTCGAGCCGCTCGGCGCTGGATGTGATCCAAAGGGAGAAGCTGGTACTGGGCGGGGCCCAAAGATGAGAGCAGTACTCCAGTACAAACTATATGAAACTGGGCGTGCATCAAAGGGGATAAGCTGTTGGACTTGGGATATCATTCTGGTTAAGTTAAATAGGTGGTCAACCATTGTTAAGTTTGTAGTAATATTATTTAATTTATCAAATTCATCCATAGATGGCGTTACTGTTATGTTTAATATTTTTCTATGCAAGTTCTGAATCACGGTATTGAGTTTGTTTTTCGAATACACATAAGTTCAATATTATTTTGAAATAGACAACCTTTGTCACAGATTTCGGTGTTTTATTTACTAAAATAACTCAGACTTTTTGAGATTTGAACATGGTCCTTCGAGCCGGATTTGAACCAGCGACCTATGGATGGCAAAACCATCAACGGGTGGCTACGTATGCCGGAGCAAATTTTCCTAACACTCACACAAGTTAGTCTAGCCTTAAATAAAGTTCAGGAGCGACACTACATCCGCCGCACGGACTCATCGCGAAACTGGGGGTTCTTAAGGATACGAATAAAATAATATTTGGAGGATTTTTTCCTTTTTACCATAGGATTTATTAGTCTAAGTGAGCGTCACCAGCAATCTGAAAATGTTTCAACTAGGGCTTTCAAACAATAGGGTTGTGACCCAATAACTCACGTGGTAGGCCACGGCCCGTTTTCCATATTCCATCCATAGAAAATCCTAAATTGTCTCAGCAGTGGATACGTTAGAAGGTTATAATTTAAATGTATCGCGCAGGTGAACGGTTGGCGCGTGCTGGGCGCGCACCACGTGGAGGTGGTGTCGCGCCTGCGCGCCGTGCGCTCCCCCGTGCGACTCGTGTGCGCGCGCGCCGCCCCGCCGCCCGCCCGCCCGCACCGGGACCCGCCCGCCCCCGCCAGCCTCGCCCGGGTGAGACACACATATATACACCGCCCCCGCTCCCTCTCTCAGCGCGCGCCGCCCCGCCGCCCGCCCGCCCGCACCGGGACCCGCCCGCCCCCGCCAGCCTCGCCCGGGTGAGACACACATATATACACCGCCCCCGCTCCCTCTCTCAGCGCGCGCCGCCCCGCCGCCCGCCCGCCCGCACCGGGACCCGCCCGCCCCCGCCAGCCTCGCCCGGGTGAGACACACATATATACACCGCCCCCGCTCCCTCTCTCAGCGCGCGCCGCCCCGCCGCCCGCCCGCCCGCACCGGGACCCGCCCGCCCCCGCCAGCCTCGCCCGGGTGAGACACACATATATACACCGCCCCCGCTCCCTCTCTCAGCGCGCGCCGCCCCGCCGCCCGCCCGCCCGCACCGGGACCCGCCCGCCCCCGCCAGCCTCGCCCGGGTGAGACACACATATATACACCGCCCCCGCTCCCTCTCTCAGCGCGCGCCGCCCCGCCGCCCGCCCGCCCGCACCGGGACCCGCCCGCCCCCGCCAGCCTCGCCCGGGTGAGACACACATATATACACCGCCCCCGCTCCCTCTCTCAGCGCGCGCCGCCCCGCCGCCCGCCCGCCCGCACCGGGACCCGCCCGCCCCCGCCAGCCTCGCCCGGGTGAGACACACATATATACACCGCCCCCGCTCCCTCTCTCAGCGCGCGCCGCCCCGCCGCCCGCCCGCCCGCACCGGGACCCGCCCGCCCCCGCCAGCCTCGCCCGGGTGAGACACACATATATACACCGCCCCCGCTCCCTCTCTCAGCGCGCGCCGCCCCGCCGCCCGCCCGCCCGCACCGGGACCCGCCCGCCCCCGCCAGCCTCGCCCGGGTGAGACACACATATATACACCGCCCCCGCTCCCTCTCTCAGCGCGCGCCGCCCCGCCGCCCGCCCGCCCGCACCGGGACCCGCCCGCCCCCGCCAGCCTCGCCCGGGTGAGACACACATATATACACCGCCCCCGCTCCCTCTCACAGCGCGCGCCGCCCCGCCGCCCGCCCGCCCGCACCGGGACCCGCCCGCCCCCCCAGCCTCGCCCGGGTGAGACACACATATATACACCGCCCCCGCTCCCTCTCTCAGCGCGCGCCGCCCCGCCGCCCGCCCGCCCGCACCGGGACCCCGCCCCCGCCAGCCTCGCCCGGGTGAGACACACATATATACACCGCCCCCGCTCCCTCTCTCAGCGCGCGCCGCACCGCCGCCCGCCCGCCCGCACCGGGACCCCCCCCCCCGCCAGCCTCGCCCGGGTGAGACACACATATATACACCGCCCCCGCTCCCTCTCTCAGCGCGCGCCGCCCCGCCGCCCGCCCGCCCGCACCGGGACCCGCCCGCCCCCGCCAGCCTCGCCCGGGTGAGACACACATATATACACCGCCCCCGCTCCCTCTCACAGCGCGCGCCGCCCCGCCGCCCGCCCGCCCGCACCGGGACCCGCCCGCCCCCGCCAGCCTCGCCCGGGTGAGACACACATATATACACCGCCCCCGCTCCCTCTCACAGCGCGCGCCGCCCCGCCGCCCGCCCGCCCGCACCGGGACCCGCCCCCCCCCGCCAGCCTCGCCCGGGTGAGACACACATATATACACCGCCCCCGCTCCCTCTCACAGCGCGCGCCGCCCCGCCGCCCGCCCGCCCGCACCGGGACCCGCCCGCCCCCGCCAGCCTCGCCCGGGTGAGACACACATATATACACCGCCCCCGCTCCCTCTCTCAGCGCGCGCCGCCCCGCCGCCCGCCCGCCCGCACCGGGACCCGCCCGCCCCCGCCAGCCTCGCCCGGGTGAGACACACATATATACACCGCCCCCGCTCCCTCTCTCAGCGCGCGCCGCCCCGCCGCCCGCCCGCCCGCACCGGGACCCGCCCGCCCCCGCCAGCCTCGCCCGGGTGAGACACACATATATACACCGCCCCCGCTCCCTCTCTCAGCGCGCGCCGCCCCGCCGCCCGCCCGCCCGCACCGGGACCCGCCCGCCCCCGCCAGCCTCGCCCGGGTGAGACACACATATATACACCGCCCCCGCTCCCTCTCACAGCGCGCGCCGCCCCGCCGCCCGCCCGCCCGCACCGGGACCCGCCCGCCCCCGCCAGCCTCGCCCGGGTGAGACACACATATATACACCGCCCCCGCTCCCTCTCACAGCGCGCGCCGCCCCGCCGCCCGCCCGCCCGCACCGGGACCCGCCCGCCCCCGCCAGCCTCGCCCGGGTGAGACACACATATATACACCGCCCCCGCTCCCTCTCTCAGCGCGCGCCGCCCCGCCGCCCGCCCGCCCGCACCGGGACCCGCCCGCCCCCGCCAGCCTCGCCCGGGTGAGACACACATATATACACCGCCCCCGCTCCCTCTCACAGCGCGCGCCGCCCCGCCGCCCGCCCGCCCGCACCGGGACCCCCCCGCCCCCGCCAGCCTCGCCCGGGTGAGACACACATATATACACCGCCCCCGCTCCCTCTCACAGCGCGCGCCGCCCCGCCGCCCGCCCGCCCGCACCGGGACCCGCCCGCCCCCGCCAGCCTCGCCCGGGTGAGACACACATATATACACCGCCCCCGCTCCCTCTCTCAGCGCGCGCCGCCCCGCCGCCCGCCCGCCCGCACCGGGACCCGCCCGCCCCCGCCAGCCTCGCCCGGGTGAGACACACATATATACACCGCCCCCGCTCCCTCTCTCAGCGCGCGCCGCCCCGCCGCCCGCCCGCCCGCACCGGGACCCGCCCGCCCCCGCCAGCCTCGCCCGGGTGAGACACACATATATACACCGCCCCCGCTCCCTCTCTCAGCGCGCGCCGCCCCGCCACACAAGAGTATGATACATGTTGCCAAACACATCAAAACTTTTTTCCGCTTCTTTTGAAGAAATTGATACTTTATTTGAATAAATAAAAAAAGAAACTGATTGACTGAAATTTCAACGTGCAGCCCAAAAACCGCTATATAAAAATAAACTTGACATAAAGATTTCTTATGAAGTCTAGGGGTGCACTAAGAAATGATTTTTCGAAATTCTCCCCCGAAGGGGTTGAAATAGAGGATGAAAATTTGTATGAAAAATCTGATTCCTTTAGTTAATAGACTTGAAACTTGGCACGAGTACTTACCTAAATAAATTGTAAAGTTTGCCATTTTTTCTTTTGCATTCATTTTATCGCGCATTTCTATTAACTCGAAATTTGGTAATTTTACTAAAGACGATTTATGTATATTTAGACAATCTTGAATAAATGCAATTCGTTGAATTACGCAGGGAATGTCCCGCTTTATTAATTTAAAATTACCTCGAATTTGACACGTTGTTAGGTTTTCAAATATTTATTTATTTACTATGGGAGCGGGGGCGGTTTGAAATATAAAACCACTAATTTAAATTAATTAATTTATTTTTATTTATTTTAGTAGGTTAAGCCATATAGTTTTTAAGTTTGTGTTATATAAATGTATTATCTTCGTATAAATAAATAAATATTGCTTTAAATAGTAAGTAGGTTCATGAAAACGCTTTTTCGGTAAAAAAATACTACCTGAATCACTAAGTCCACGCGATCCAAGTCGCGGGCAAAAGCTAGTTAACACATACTCATTGTCCCTATGTTGGTCTTAGAACCAGATCCTCGGCGGCAGCTTGCAGGACCTGCTGGCGCCTCCTCAACGGCTGATCAAGGCCAAGTCGGAGAGCTCTATGGCCTCTCTGTGCAGCGCCACTACCATTATGTCAGCGGGGCATGACCATGATGGTGAGTGATACGGTCTTTTGAGTATACCATACAAGTAATGGGAATATTGGGCTTAACATAATAGACTACTTTTACTTTGCTAATTTGGTTTGATAATTGTTTAACCTTTAAATTTAAAAATAGTACCTAGCTACTTAACTTATTATTTATTTTATTTATTTATTTTGTACACACACAATAAAATATTACATAAAAGAGAAACAAGAGACATGTACAAGGGCACTTGTACATGTCTCTTGTTTCTCTTTTATGTAATATTACACTTATTGTTAATTAATAATTTAAATGTGTTGAAAGTTGACATCGACACATGTTTTTAGTTTTTGATGTCATCTTTCAATTGACTACACTGTATGAAACAAAACAGGGAGAAAAAAAATGGTTGCCTGTAAAGTCGGTTTTACGGGCGAAGATTTTACGTGACAACGTCTTTTTCTCGGTAGAATATTTATTGATATGAATATAATTAAATTGCACAATAGGAACAAGGAATTGAATGAAAATAAGAATTGCACAAATTTTAACTATAGAAATATATTTTGTTTACTAAAACATTGTACATGTAAACTTAAACTTAACACGAGAGACTCATCGTAACGTTACCGAGCGTTACACTTTTTCATAAGTGACTCCCAGCCGCAACCTAATTTAAGACGTTGTCACGTCAAAAATAACCCTTGCTGAATTTCTTGCCGGTTCTTCTCGGTACAAGGTCTTCCGCCGTATATTTACGAGCTGATGGCGTAGCGTTTGACTTTCACAAGAGCTTGTAACAGCCTAGACTGAATAAATGAGTTTTAGTTTATTCAGCTAACCCTACTGTAAACAATTTTGTAATATTGCATTTAACTGATTCACATTCACAGTGAACATTGAAAGTATTAGGCCAAAATTGGCAATATTTAAAAGATCTTCAAAAAAAAACTAAAATGATCACTTAAAAATACTATTCATAACCTAAATGTTGGATTAGGTTACCAATTGTATTTCTTTGAGGACCAATTACTGTTTTTTTTTTGATGATCATTTAAATATAGGTCGACTAAAATTGCCATTGTCCGGGGACGGGTCGGCTATGTCTAGGGCGCTTAGGTTTGGTAAATATTGACTGAATAAAAATGTTTACTTCATCCGAAGACACTTAAGTGAATGTATTTTTTTAGCATTTTGTCTCCAGAGTTTTGCTCAAATGACTTGGTGTGAAACTTGTCAAGGTAACTGTAATCACACCAACACGTCTATCATATATATGGTTACTTGTCGGGATGGGGTTCGAAATTATATGCCAGTTCACGCTTGACAGTTCTTTATTCACCACACAGTCCACATAATTAACTCACAATGTTAATTACAAAACACTCACTAAACACTGTATTTCACTATACAAGTCTCTAAACAATCGCACTTGAACACTTTGTTGCACTTTGATCGCCTTTGGATTCGCTCAGAAATCGCTGTTGAAACTGCGCGGCGCCAATCGCGCTTATATACGCCGATCGACGCATTCTAGAAAGAACCTGTTAAATTGCGGTGATCTGGCAAATACGATCTCTAGCACCTTTGCGGTTACGTCTCGAGAGAGTTTGTGACAATATTTTTAATGTGTGTGTGACATTCTGTCTCCAGAGTTCTGCTCGGACGACCTGGAGCGCAATAGGTCGCGGTCTTTAGAGCCACTGAGCGGGCTGGCCATGTGGAGCGACCACGTGGAATATATTCAGCTGCTGAAGGAAGACAGAGGGCTGGGGTTCTCCATACTAGACTATTTGGTGAGGCTTTTGTTCAGAACTTTTATTTTATAAAGATTTCTATGTGTATAGCGGTTTGGCCATGTGAAGCGACCACGTGGAATATATCCAACTGCTGAAGATTCGGCTTGTTGTTCTCCATATTGGGCTATTTGGTGAGGATTTTTAATTGTGATTCGCCACCAAGTTAGTCTATTTCTTTTAGCCTCACATCTTCCAAGAAGCTCAAAATGTTTCTATCTTTTAGAGATTTGATTTCCTCTGGGCGTATTATTGTCGTCTAAAACGAATACTACGTTTGTGGATGAGCGGCCCACATTCACATAGAAGGTGTTTTCCCTATACCTTATAGTTTATTATTCTCCAGGACCCAGTGGAAGCGGGTCGGTCCGTGATCGTGGTCCGCGCAGTGGTGGCGGGCGGCGCGGCGGCGGCGGACGGGCGGCTGCAGCCCGGCGACCGGCTGCTGTCCGTCAACGGGGTGGACGTGGCGCGCGCCCCGCTGCACCACGCCGTGCGGGAGATCAAGGCCGCGCCCGCAGGTACCGACATCAATGATGACCCACTGCTGGGGCACAGCCCGGCGACCGGCTGCTGTCCGTCAACGGGGTGGACGTGGCGCGCGCCCCGCTGCACCACGCCGTGCGGGAGATCAAGGCCGCGCCCGCAGGTACCGACATCAATGATGACCCACTGCTGGGGCACAGCCCGGCGACCGGCTGCTGTCCGTCAACGGGGTGGACGTGGCGCGCGCCCCGCTGCACCACGCCGTGCGGGAGATCAAGGCCGCGCCCGCAGGTACCGACATCAATGATGACCCACTGCTGGGGCACAGCCCGGCGACCGGCTGCTGTCCGTCAACGGGGTGGACGTGGCGCGCGCCCCGCTGCACCACGCCGTGCGGGAGATCAAGGCCGCGCCCGCAGGTACCGACATCAATGATGACCCACTGCTGGGGCACAGCCCGGCGACCGGCTGCTGTCCGTCAACGGGGTGGACGTGGCGCGCGCCCCGCTGCACCACGCCGTGCGGGAGATCAAGGCCGCGCCCGCAGGTACCGACATCAATGATGACCCACTGCTGGGGCACAGCCCGGCGACCGGCTGCTGTCCGTCAACGGGGTGGACGTGGCGCGCGCCCCGCTGCACCACGCCGTGCGGGAGATCAAGGCCGCGCCCGCAGGTACCGACATCAATGATGACCCACTGCTGGGGCACAGCCCGGCGACCGGCTGCTGTCCGTCAACGGGGTGGACGTGGCGCGCGCCCCGCTGCACCACGCCGTGCGGGAGATCAAGGCCGCGCCCGCAGGTACCGACATCAATGATGACCCACTGCTGGGGCACAGCCCGGCGACCGGCTGCTGTCCGTCAACGGGGTGGACGTGGCGCGCGCCCCGCTGCACCACGCCGTGCGGGAGATCAAGGCCGCGCCCGCAGGTACCGACATCAATGATGACCCACTGCTGGGGCACAGCCCGGCGACCGGCTGCTGTCCGTCAACGGGGTGGACGTGGCGCGCGCCCCGCTGCACCACGCCGTGCGGGAGATCAAGGCCGCGCCCGCAGGTACCGACATCAATGATGACCCACTGCTGGGGCACAGCCCGGCGACCGGCTGCTGTCCGTCAACGGGGTGGACGTGGCGCGCGCCCCGCTGCACCACGCCGTGCGGGAGATCAAGGCCGCGCCCGCAGGTACCGACATCAATGATGACCCACTGCTGGGGCACAGCCCGGCGACCGGCTGCTGTCCGTCAACGGGGTGGACGTGGCGCGCGCCCCACTGCACCACGCCGTGCGGGAGATCAAGGCCGCGCCCGCAGGTACCGACATCAATGATGACCCACTGCTGGGGCACAGCCCGGCGACCGGCTGCTGTCCGTCAACGGGGTGGACGTGGCGCGCGCCCCGCTGCACCACGCCGTGCGGGAGATCAAGGCCGCGCCCGCAGGTACCGACATCAATGATGACCCACTGCTGGGGCACAGCCCGGCGACCGGCTGCTGTCCGTCAACGGGGTGGACGTGGCGCGCGCCCCGCTGCACCACGCCGTGCGGGAGATCAAGGCCGCGCCCGCAGGTACCGACATCAATGATGACCCACTGCTGGGGCACAGCCCGGCGACCGGCTGCTGTCCGTCAACGGGGTGGACGTGGCGCGCGCCCCGCTGCACCACGCCGTGCGGGAGATCAAGGCCGCGCCCGCAGGTACCGACATCAATGATGACCCACTGCTGGGGCACAGCCCGGCGACCGGCTGCTGTCCGTCAACGGGGTGGACGTGGCGCGCGCCCCGCTGCACCACGCCGTGCGGGAGATCAAGGCCGCGCCCGCAGGTACCGACATCAATGATGACCCACTGCTGGGGCACAGCCCGGCGACCGGCTGCTGTCCGTCAACGGGGTGGACGTGGCGCGCGCCCCGCTGCACCACGCCGTGCGGGAGATCAAGGCCGCGCCCGCAGGTACCGACATCAATGATGACCCACTGCTGGGGCACAGCCCGGCGACCGGCTGCTGTCCGTCAACGGGGTGGACGTGGCGCGCGCCCCGCTGCACCACGCCGTGCGGGAGATCAAGGCCGCGCCCGCAGGTACCGACATCAATGATGACCCACTGCTGGGGCACAGCCCGGCGACCGGCTGCTGTCCGTCAACGGGGTGGACGTGGCGCGCGCCCCGCTGCACCACGCCGTGCGGGAGATCAAGGCCGCGCCCGCAGGTACCGACATCAATGATGACCCACTGCTGGGGCACAGCCCGGCGACCGGCTGCTGTCCGTCAACGGGGTGGACGTGGCGCGCGCCCCGCTGCACCACGCCGTGCGGGAGATCAAGGCCGCGCCCGCAGGTACCGACATCAATGATGACCCACTGCTGGGGCACAGCCCGGCGACCGGCTGCTGTCCGTCAACGGGGTGGACGTGGCGCGCGCCCCGCTGCACCACGCCGTGCGGGAGATCAAGGCCGCGCCCGCAGGTACCGACATCAATGATGACCCACTGCTGGGGCACAGCCCGGCGACCGGCTGCTGTCCGTCAACGGGGTGGACGTGGCGCGCGCCCCGCTGCACCACGCCGTGCGGGAGATCAAGGCCGCGCCCGCAGGTACCGACATCAATGATGACCCACTGCTGGGGCACAGCCCGGCGACCGGCTGCTGTCCGTCAACGGGGTGGACGTGGCGCGCGCCCCGCTGCACCACGCCGTGCGGGAGATCAAGGCCGCGCCCGCAGGTACCGACATCAATGATGACCCACTGCTGGGGCACAGCCCGGCGACCGGCTGCTGTCCGTCAACGGGGTGGACGTGGCGCGCGCCCCGCTGCACCACGCCGTGCGGGAGATCAAGGCCGCGCCCGCAGGTACCGACATCAATGATGACCCACTGCTGGGGCACAGCCCGGCGACCGGCTGCTGTCCGTCAACGGGGTGGACGTGGCGCGCGCCCCGCTGCACCACGCCGTGCGGGAGATCAAGGCCGCGCCCGCAGGTACCGACATCAATGATGACCCACTGCTGGGGCACAGCCCGGCGACCGGCTGCTGTCCGTCAACGGGGTGGACGTGGCGCGCGCCCCGCTGCACCACGCCGTGCGGGAGATCAAGGCCGCGCCCGCAGGTACCGACATCAATGATGACCCACTGCTGGGGCACAGCCCGGCGACCGGCTGCTGTCCGTCAACGGGGTGGACGTGGCGCGCGCCCCGCTGCACCACGCCGTGCGGGAGATCAAGGCCGCGCCCGCAGGTACCGACATCAATGATGACCCACTGCTGGGGCACAGCCCGGCGACCGGCTGCTGTCCGTCAACGGGGTGGACGTGGCGCGCGCCCCGCTGCACCACGCCGTGCGGGAGATCAAGGCCGCGCCCGCAGGTACCGACATCAATGATGACCCACTGCTGGGGCACAGCCCGGCGACCGGCTGCTGTCCGTCAACGGGGTGGACGTGGCGCGCGCCCCGCTGCACCACGCCGTGCGGGAGATCAAGGCCGCGCCCGCAGGTACCGACATCAATGATGACCCACTGCTGGGGCACAGCCCGGCGACCGGCTGCTGTCCGTCAACGGGGTGGACGTGGCGCGCGCCCCGCTGCACCACGCCGTGCGGGAGATCAAGGCCGCGCCCGCAGGTACCGACATCAATGATGACCCACTGCTGGGGCACTGCCCGGCGACCGGCTGCTGTCCGTCAACGGGGTGGACGTGGCGCGCGCCCCGCTGCACCACGCCGTGCGGGAGATCAAGGCCGCGCCCGCAGGTACCGACATCAATGATGACCCACTGCTGGGGCACAGCCCGGCGACCGGCTGCTGTCCGTCAACGGGGTGGACGTGGCGCGCGCCCCGCTGCACCACGCCGTGCGGGAGATCAAGGCCGCGCCCGCAGGTACCGACATCAATGATGACCCACTGCTGGGGCACTGCCCGGCGACCGGCTGCTGTCCGTCAACGGGGTGGACGTGGCGCGCGCCCCGCTGCACCACGCCGTGCGGGAGATCAAGGCCGCGCCCGCAGGTACCGACATCAATGATGACCCACTGCTGGGGCACTGCCCGGCGACCGGCTGCTGTCCGTCAACGGGGTGGACGTGGCGCGCGCCCCGCTGCACCACGCCGTGCGGGAGATCAAGGCCGCGCCCGCAGGTACCGACATCAATGATGACCCACTGCTGGGGCACAGCCCGGCGACCGGCTGCTGTCCGTCAACGGGGTGGACGTGGCGCGCGCCCCGCTGCACCACGCCGTGCGGGAGATCAAGGCCGCGCCCGCAGGTACCGACATCAATGATGACCCACTGCTGGGGCACAGCCCGGCGACCGGCTGCTGTCCGTCAACGGGGTGGACGTGGCGCGCGCCCCACTGCACCACGCCGTGCGGGAGATCAAGGCCGCGCCCGCAGGTACCGACATCAATGATGACCCACTGCTGGGGCACAGCCCGGCGACCGGCTGCTGTCCGTCAACGGGGTGGACGTGGCGCGCGCCCCGCTGCACCACGCCGTGCGGGAGATCAAGGCCGCGCCCGCAGGTACCGACATCAATGATGACCCACTGCTGGGGCACAGCCCGGCGACCGGCTGCTGTCCGTCAACGGGGTGGACGTGGCGCGCGCCCCGCTGCACCACGCCGTGCGGGAGATCAAGGCCGCGCCCGCAGGTACCGACATCAATGATGACCCACTGCTGGGGCACAGCCCGGCGACCGGCTGCTGTCCGTCAACGGGGTGGACGTGGCGCGCGCCCCGCTGCACCACGCCGTGCGGGAGATCAAGGCCGCGCCCGCAGGTACCGACATCAATGATGACCCACTGCTGGGGCACAGCCCGGCGACCGGCTGCTGTCCGTCAACGGGGTGGACGTGGCGCGCGCCCCGCTGCACCACGCCGTGCGGGAGATCAAGGCCGCGCCCGCAGGTACCGACATCAATGATGACCCACTGCTGGGGCACAGCCCGGCGACCGGCTGCTGTCCGTCAACGGGGTGGACGTGGCGCGCGCCCCGCTGCACCACGCCGTGCGGGAGATCAAGGCCGCGCCCGCAGGTACCGACATCAATGATGACCCACTGCTGGGGCACAGCCCGGCGACCGGCTGCTGTCCGTCAACGGGGTGGACGTGGCGCGCGCCCCGCTGCACCACGCCGTGCGGGAGATCAAGGCCGCGCCCGCAGGTACCGACATCAATGATGACCCACTGCTGGGGCACAGCCCGGCGACCGGCTGCTGTCCGTCAACGGGGTGGACGTGGCGCGCGCCCCGCTGCACCACGCCGTGCGGGAGATCAAGGCCGCGCCCGCAGGTACCGACATCAATGATGACCCAC